GGCGCTCCCGGAGCCTGTGAAACGGCGTGTCTGACGCCTGACCGCATTGATCGCGGCGATCATTGTCCAGGATGGAGCTGGCTTGGACAGCGCGCCTTTACGTCCACAGGCCGTCGCAACGCAGACTGCGAATCCATCCCTTCTCCATCGTCGACCTCGAAGCTGTCCTGTGACGATGTCAAAACACAATCGATCGCAGGGGGGCTGAGCTCGCCGCTGGAGTCTCGCTCGAGTTGTCAGAAGACCGCATCGCGAAACCGGGTCTCGAGTGGCGTTGGTGCCACCAATGTTAGTTGGATGGGTCGCCAAGGTCCGAGATAAGGGGTCACGAAGTCCGACGTGCTCCAGCCGATCCTAGCAGCAGGCAAACGCATGGCCGTCAAGGGCCCACTGACCCCCCTCCACTTGGGCGTCGGTCCTCGAAAGCTTCGTTCCAAAACTGCCTCATGGTGGGGTGGGGGTGGGGGTGGGGTGGGGTGGGGTGGGGTGGGGGGGGGGGGGGGCATGGGGGTGTGGACAGCCCAGGCTTCTTTTCTGTATCTGACAATGGCGGCCGCAGAGCCTATCCAGGTGGGGTCGTCCTGGACAAGAACGGTGGAAGTAAGGGGTCTGCCCTTCGTTCTAGGCCGCGAAACTTTGCCCGCTTCGCGACGGAGTTTCGTGGGCTCGAAATCCGAAATGCCATGCAATTCGGCTCCGTAAAGAACGCCGGGCAGCGCTCCCGGGACCCAGGCCCGCCTCGTGAAACTGCCAAGCTGGGAGGGGGGCCTAATTATTTTATGACTGGTACTCTTAATGTGGTGCGTTCTGATTTTGAGCTTTCCGCTGCGTTGTCCGATTCTCCTGGGCCTGCCAGCCGTGTCATCGATCCCGAGGTTGACCGCGCTATCGATGGGCTCTCCAGCCAAGGGGCCGAGGAAACTGCGGAGCTGCTCCTTCGCCTCCCTGCCAGAGGTAACAGAGGCAGCCTTGTCGCGCGAGATGCCGCGCTCCATCTCTGAAGCATTAGCGCTGTGGGGGCTATCGGACACGGGCTTCAAGCTGGCGGCGACATGGTTGACAGTGCCCGTGGCGGAGACGCCACTGTTATCGATGTATTGGTCCAGTTGTGTGTGTGTGTGTGTGTGTGTGCGCGCGCGCGCGCGTGTATATATGTGCGTGTGTGTTAAACTATTTTTCTTCGGGGAATTATGTTGGAAGTGTCGACGCAGTAGACCCCGGCATGCGAAGTGGCGAAACTGCAGCCGGCGATAACTCCTCTCCAAAGGGAAAAAGGGGCCCACCACCAGGTTCTCCATGCTCATAAATCTGGCCGGACTGTAGGCGGAGAGACACAGCTTCTATATGGGCAGGAGGGAACTGGAGCTTGGCACAGTGAGCCTCCAGCCTCTCTAGGGAGATGCCGTCGAAAAACTTCGTCATGCCCCGGGGGGGGGTAGCAGGCGCTGCTCCCCTGGAGTTGGCCGCCCCGGACCTCGCCATTTGGCGCCAGTCGACATATGTGGCCCCAGAAAAGGCCCGCGCCGCGAAGTACGGCCAGGCGAAGCGGACTTCCCATAGCTGGGCGTAGACGCGACGGCATCTCCCCCGGAGGCGGTATAGCGAGCAGAAAAGACCCATGGGGCGGTGACCGCCGTGAGGCTTCATCAGCAGGATGACTTGCGTGATCTGGAGCTGCAGTGACACGCGCGACGCGGATTCCATTGTCTGTATCATGGCGGAGACTGACTCGAGGCAATAATCCGACATCCAAGAATAGTGTCCCATGTGGAATCCGTCCAGGGCACAGACAGTCATCGTGGAATATTTCTTTGGGACTTCCCGGGTGAAGTCAACGCTGGGAGGGGGGGGGCGCTCTTGGATGGCCCTGAACTCAGCGCCCTAAGCCTGGGGTTCGGCCTCCCAAATGCCCGAGAACGACGCGGCCTGAGTTTTCAATGGCGCCTGGGGGTCCGAAATCACGTGTCCCGCGGAAGAAGGGGTAGCGGTCGCGTTCCAGCCTGCCGCGGGCGGCCTGGCGATGTGGGCGTCTCCCTCCCTTCTCGATGTTGGCCAACCGCCAGCCATTCCACGCTTGACTAGCCAGGCTCCTTGCAGCGATCTGCTCCGCGCGCAAATCCTGGGAGATGTCCTCAAGCAGCTCGGCGTCATCGCACCCAGCTGCCTCGAAGTCTGCATCGCTGCGAAGGTCGGCATAGGGCTGCGCCCCGGCCTTTGCGGCGCCAGCTGGACTCGCTGGGCCCGTTCTGACGCGCGATTTCGAATGCTCGTCGGGCAAGGCGCGAGAATTGGGAGCTCGCCGGCCCGCCCTCCCCCGGCGCCTCTGCCAACGGGTGGCGTGGGCCGAGAGAATCTTCTGAATGCCCCCCGGAGGGCCCCTTAGAAGATAGGCGCGCTGCTGGCTTTCAGGGGGGCCCACCTTGGTGCTTCTCCACTGGCGGAAAGCGTTGGCCGGTCATTTTTTTCGCCGAAGAGGACAGGGTGGGGAACCTCGCTGGGTTTAGCGTGGACCACGGGTGCCCATTTCATCCTGGGGGGCGACTTCTAGCACCGTATCGGGTGGGCTTAGTACGAGCCACCTCAGCGACTTCGCACTCGGCAAGCTTGCTCCACTTGCGGTGCAAATGCGCGAGGGCCTCAGGGCAGCCCTGGGTCGACTGGCCAATGACGAGCCTGGGCAACGCTTCTCTTCCAACCGCCTCGACTCGTAGGGCCGATGGGGCGAACCGCGGGGGTGGGGGAGGGCTCGTCAAACGCCGGGGCCTGCAAGGAAGCCGCGCGTTCATGAAGAACGGGCCGCGCTGGCGAGTGATGGGGTGGCGCATGAATTGCAAGCGCTTCCTTGACCGCCCTCTCTAAGCCCTTGGAGGCGACGCAGAAATCGAGCGTTCTCGCCCTCCAGTGGCGAGGCGCGTGCCATCGCAGTCAGGCGCGAACGGCTGCCCTGAGAGACGCTCGGGGACTCTACTAGAACGAAGACTATCAGGGCACATGTTGGAACCACCGGCGATCAGCATTTCGGAGGCGTGGATATCTTGAAGGCCGCCGATAGCGCCCATGATGTCCACGTTTCTGTTCGAGAGTCCCTCGGGGCAGAGAACATGCATAGAAACCAAGAGAATATGGTGCTCATGATCCCCTGGGAGATGAGCGACTCCATCAACCGCTCGAGCTGGGGCGACTTCCGAAATTTGGCTTGGGGGCGGGTGAAGGCCTGAGAGACTGCGAGCTACGATCGCCGCTCCGCCCGAGCTGCCCTCGCCGACACCTGGGCGCGCAGGAAGGGGAACCCCCGTCCGACTATTGCGCAAGCACCGGGCCTGCGCACTGTCGCAGGCTTCCGACGAAGAGAGATGGCGTTCCTGAGCGGCCGCCGCGTGGGCCTGGGCCCCGTCGAAGCCATTCCAGGCACGACCCCCATGATGTGGCGTTCGTGGTTTCAAGAATGAAGCCGAAACTATCCTGGGGCGGCGTCGGTGGCACCTGGAAGAAATCAAAACTGGAGCCCGCGCCGACGCGAGATGAGACCGCCTGGTCCCTCATACAAAACCCTCGGTCTACTGGGGGCCCCGTCCGAGGAATACTTACACGGGAACGAAGGAACGTGATCCTGACCCCCCGCCCATGGGCCTGGACGGGGGGTCTCTGTTGCCCTGGGGGGGCAGGTCCCCCAGGGCTCGGCGAAGGCGAGTGCGAAGATCAGGGCTGGCCCCTGAGGACGGCGCCGCGTTGGCCTCAGTTCCTGCAGCAGCTCCTCCTGCGCCGCCTGCGAGGCCAGCGGCCTGGCCTGCGGCCTCGCCCTCGGCGCTTCCCGCAGCGGCTGCGCGGGGGGCAGATGCACCTGCTGCGTCGACTCCATATGCTGCGCGCCCCTCCTTTTTAGACATCCGAGCGAGGTGCCGCTGATGTTCCTCTCGGGCGTTCTGGAACTTTGACACAGCCTCGCCCAGGAGCTTCTTGGCCATGTCCTGGGAGCCCGTCTGCAGCAGCTTCTTCCTGTCAGCGAACTGCGACTGGTCCTCGGCCGTGAGGTCGTATTCGTCCAGGCTCGTGAACAGCTCATCATGCAACTGCAGGTTGGGCTCGTCGCCCGCCACGAGGGCCTTGAAACTGATTGCTGGTGACTTGGCCTGCTCGGCAGCAGGCTCGCGAGCGACCTCGTCCCTGATCTGGCCCACGAAGTCTGTGTGCTTCGCTTGTTTCTCGTCCAACTCAGACGACAACGCACGAATACTGTCCTGGAGCTCCTGGGTTTCTTTCTGTCAGCGGTCGAGCTTGTCCAGCTCTTTGTGCGGGCGCTTCTCCAAATGCCTAATCTTAGACTGGGCCTGCGAAGCACGGGTGTGCAAGCTGGCCTCTGGCTTTGGTACCAGGCTAGCTTGCAGGACACGTTTGGCTTTCTCGTACGGCTTTGCCAGCTCGGACTGCCCTTGTTTAGTGGCGATCGCCTGCAAGGAAAAAAGCTCGTCCATCGCGAGACCGTCGGTGTTGATCATATCGCGCGAAGGGGGTGGAGGCCATCCGCTGGAACGGCCAACGGGTCCGACAGGGAGTGGAAGCTGCACAGACCAAACTTGAGACTCAACATGGCCATCGTGATCAGAAGACATCGAACCGCCCTTAGAGCCGAAGTTTGTCTTGCGGTGCTTGCACCACCACCACCACCACTCCATGTTGTTCTCCCAGCAACCGCACGCCCGACATGTCCAAAAGGTCGGACGGTAGGGCGCCTTCCTCTGGGCCCAGGGCCCCGACATGACTGCGGAATGGCGGAAAGGATAGCAGGCGCCACCTGCGTACTGTAGGCTGAAAAAGGGGGGAGCAGGTGCCACCTGTACACGGTAGGCTGGAAAGACGAAGCCCGAAAGCTCGGTCGTGCAGCGCCGTTCCGAAGTTCGCACGACCAAGCTCATAATCAATCTGAGCCAGAACGGCTACCTTTAGCCAAAATGGCTACGGACTCAGCTTCCTTCTTGGAGAGAGGGGGGCAGGGAGGGAGCAGGAGGGAAAGATGAGGCAGGACGACTACCACCAGGAACTCAGCACTGAACGTACGACCATCCCTTAGAGAAGGCGCGCAGTAATGTGCAGCCGTGCCCTGTGCGCCGCAAGTCAGGCATCGAATTTGGGCAAGTTCGCAAACTCAAAGGGAAGCAGTGCGCAAACTTCTCGTGCAATCTTTTTGGCCGACGTACTCGGCCGCCCTGCTACATACCGCAAAAGCAAACGACGCCATGGTGGTCTGCAGCACAGCTGCCCTTGCACGGAATAGACAATGTGAATCTAGCAGTCACGCGCGAGCGCACTAGATGCGGCAAGCTGAAACATATCAAAATAACCTTTCGACAATCATGAATATCAAAAAGCGCTTCACTGAAAACTTGAGAATGCGGGCTCACGCAATTCCCGGAACTGATTAATACGCCTCAATTCCTACCATATCCTGCCAACGCGCAGTCGGCAATCGCAGTATATTTGAACCTCATCTCCGGCTGGCTTGCCCACTGGAACCGAATCGGAGTTTAGCCGGAAGATCAAATATACGGCCCGACATCACGTGAGGCCTGCTTCGAATGATGGCGGGATGCCTGGTCAGGGAATGCAGTTGGCGCAGGCTGAGCAGATGCTGGGGAGCAGTGGTGTGCTCCCAGCTCGGAGGAGCGCCAGCTGAGATGACCCGCCCGCCCCAGGCCTGCCAAGCATCGGCCCCCCGACCCCTCCCGACGTCCACCCCAGCCCGTCCTTGCTCAGCGGGGCCCGGCCGTGGCGACGAGGCGCCCCAGGGAGGCCCCGGAGGGGAAGCCGAAGAGAAGCCAGGGGGAGGGCCGCCGTTGTCTCGCCCGGCCCCCCCCTCCGGATCCACGCGCCCCCGTGGTGGCACGGCTGCACGGCGCTCAAGCATCTATGCAGCTCCGGCGGGTGGGCCCCCGCGCGCGCACAGCGAACGCCCGAGCCCTGCGCGGCGGCTGCTCGCCCCCCCCGCCTCACCCCCAAGACGCCCGCCCGTCCCTGAGCTGCCGCTGCCTCAGAGGGGGGCAGGGAGGAGGCGGGGGAGAAGGGGGGAGGGAGGAAGAGAGAAGAAGGGTGAGGCAGGAGGTGGAGGACGAGGGGGAGGAAGAGGACGAGGATGAGGAGGAGGAGGAAGAGGACGAGGGGGAGGAGGAGGACCAATGTAAACCCAAGAACCGTCAACGATGTTGGAATAAACCCTCCTTACAGGCTCCCTCTTCATAGGCCCCTACAATGGTTCACTTCCATTGAGGGAACTGCCTCGTTGGATGACAATCGTTTGAAGACCCTGGAGCATGCCAAAACATCGTTCTTGGGATTCCAACGCCACGGATCAACCTGACTGTGCCGTCTTGACGATCCTGAACCGTGCCAGAACGTCATTCCTGGGGCTTAAACACAGCGAGTCAGTGTAACCCTTGCACCCGCATATTTCTGCATCCTTTCAAAACATAATCCCTGGCACATTGATGATGGGAATCCGTGAAACTCTTGCAAACTCTGTCAACGAATGTGCGCGGCGCTAACGCAATATTCACATGTTGAAAAGGCACCGCCCTCAATCCGTGCAGCTCTTGCGTTTTTGAATGCGAATTTGCGCCGCGTTACGGCGAGAACTACATTTTGAAAGCCACCCGCCCTCAATCCGTGAAGCTCTGGCAAATGTTTACAACGAGTGTGCGCCGCGCTAAAGCGAAAACCACATGTTGGAAACCACCCGCCTTCAATCCGTGAAGCTTTTGCAAATGCTTACAACGAATGCGCCGCGCTACGGCGAGAGGCACATTTTGAAAACAACCCGTCCTCAATCCGTGAAGCTGTTGCCATTTGTTTTAAAAGGAATCTACGCCGCGCTGAAGCGAGAACCACATTTTGAACACCACCCGTCCTCAATGTGTGAAGCTCTTGCATAACAAATGCGCCGCGCTGAAGCGAGAGCCACATTTTGAATACCACCCGTCCTCGATGTGTGAAGCGCTTGCATAAAAAAGTGCGCCGCGCTGCGGCGAGAGCCACATTTTGAAAACGACCCGCCCTCCATAAGTGATACGGTTGCAAATTTGTACGCTTCAGATTTATAAATTGTGAGGAACTCTAAGGCGAAACGCCCCGCCCGCCCTAAAAACTTGCCCCGGGGTGCGACAAGGAGAGGTCAATGATAAAGAAAAGGAATGGAAGAGGAGGAGGAGGAGGAGGAGGAGGAGGAGGAGGAGGAGGAGGAGGAGGACGAAGAGGAGGAGGACGAAGAGGAGGAGGACGAGGAGGAGGAGGAGGAGGAGGAGGAGGAGGAGGATGAGGAGGACGAGGACGAGGAAGAACAAGAGGATGACGAGGAGGGGTCCAGGGGGCGATTTTGAGCTGCCGCTGCCTCAGCCCGCCCTGAAGCCTCTACTGTAGGCACGGGACTGGGGCGGAAGGCGAAACTGGAAGCCGGGCGGGCGTCTTGGGGCTAAGGAGGGGGGCGAGCACCAGCCGCGCCGGGGCAGGCGTTCGCTGTGAACCCTCGCGCCTCTCGCCCCGACCCCTTGGCGACAGCACCCTGGAGGAAGACAGGAACCTGCATATACATAGACTTCCGAATCTCCGCGCGGATCTGATTCGCTCAGCGCTGGGCCCCCCCTTACCGGCGACTGCGGCGCCGCACCTGGCGCGCCCCGCGCGCCAGGGAGGGGTCCAGCGCCGATCCGAAAGATCCGCGCGGACCTGCGAAAGTGCAATACTTACGCAGGACGAAGGAGTTTCCTCTTGAGGTGAAAATGGCCATAAGGAGTTCGCGAGACAACGTCGGCGCCGCCGAACGGATGGCGACCAGACGAGCTGTTCGCAGCAACCGGGGGGAGAGGGATGTATGTATACATGTTGAATGGGGCCCGCTCGCGCGGGGAGTTGATGGGAGTGCGCGAGACGACGCAGGGCCCATCGTGGAAAGTTGATTACCGACCCCCCCTCCCCCGTATAATCTTAACACGGGCGGTGTGTGGAGTCCGCGGATCCGATTTCTTCCGGTTCCCTGTTGTAATTTAGTATATAAATCTTAAACAAGGTAGAAAACGGGTCCGCCGTTGGAAAAAAGGTGGAACGCGGATCCGGGAAAATCCGAAATCGGAACCGCGCAGACGAAAACCGGATCCGCCGACACACAAACCAAAACCAAAATTGGACCCACGCGAATTTACTTGGATTCGACGGCGGGTATCTCATACGCGCCTGCTCAAGACTTCAAACCTTCGCTCCGGGCCGAAGAGGAAAAACTTTCGTCCTGGGAATGGGCGGTTTGGCCTTCGCACGTGTTGGTTGCCACGTTGCCCACACACCACACCTCGCCGCGATTCCCCCGCAACGTGCAGTCAGGAGTTCCCGCTCGAGACGTCCTCGCAACACCCCGTTGGGTCAGGAGACGCAGGGCCGAAACGCACTTACGCAAGACGAGAGATTGTCCTCTTGAGGTGAACATGGCCATGAGGAGTTCGCGAGACAACGTCGGCGCCGCCGAACGGACGGCGACCGGACGAGCTGTTTGCAGCAACCGGGGGGGAGGGATGTATGTATACATGTTGAGTGGGGCCCGCTCGCGCGGGGAGTTGATGGGGATGCGCGAGACGACGCAGCGCCCATCGCGGAAAGTTGATTACCGACCCCCCCTCCCCCATAGAATTTTAACACGGGCGGTGTGCGGGGTCCGCGGATCCGATTTCTTCCGGGCCCCTGTTGTAATTTAGTATATGAATGTTAAATAGGGTAGAAATCGGATCCGCCATTAAAAATAAGGTGGGACGCGGATCCGGGAAAATCCGAAATCGGAACCGCGCAGACAAAAATCGGATCCACCGACGCACCGCGCGGAAAAAAAATCTGATCCACAGCCTGCCTCAGCCTCAGCGTCAGCCTGCCTCGGCCTCAGCCTGCGTCAGCCTCAGCCTCAGCTTGCCTCAGCCTCAGCCTGCCTCAGCCTCAGCCTGCCTCAGCCTCAGCCTCAGCAACAGCCTCAGCCTCGGCGTGCCTCAGCCTCAGCCTCAGCCTGCCTCGGCCTCAGCCTGCCTCGGCCTCAGCCTGCCTCAGCTCGGGCATTCAAAATATGGCATAGGACTGGTGCTCCTGGAACACGAAGATCACGAAGTGGCCCACAGCTGGCTCCGGGCAATCAAAATATGGTACAGGAATGGTGTTCTGGGAACACGAGGAACACGAAGTGAACACGAAGATCACGAAGTGGCCCACAGTTGGCTCTGGGCAGTCAAATTATCCTGGCAAAGCAACCTAACAGCGATGTGTATAAGCATATCTGTCAGCCTCAGCCTGCCTCAGCCTCAGCCTCAGCCTCAGCCTCAGCCTGCCTCAGCCTCAGCCTGCCTCAGCCGCAGCTTGCCTCAGCCTCAGCCACAGCCTCAGCCTCAGCCTGCCTCAGCTTCTGCCTCAGCCTGCCTCGGCTTGCCTCAGCCTCAGCCTCAGCCTGCCTCGGCCTCACCCTCAGCCTCAGCCTGCCTCAGCCTCAGCGTCAGCCTCTCAGCCTCAGCCTGCATCAGCCTCAGCCTCAGCCTCAGCCTGCCTCAGCCTCAGCCTCAGCCTGCCTCAGCCTCAGCCTGCCTCGGCCTCAGCCTCAGCCTCCCTCGGCCTCGGCCTGCATCAGCCTCAGCCTCAGCCTGCCTCAGCCGCAGCTTGCCTCAGCCTCAGCCACAGCCTCAGCCTCAGCCTGCCTCGGCCTCAGCCTCAGCCTCAGCCTGCCTCGGCCTCAGCCTCAGCCTCAGCCTCAGCCTCAGCCTGCCTCAGCCTCAGCATGCCTCAGCCTCAGCCTCAGCCTGCCTCGGCCTCAGCGTGCGTCAGCCTCAGCCTCAGCCTGCCTCAGCCTCAGCCTGCCTCAGCCTCAGCCTCAGCCCCAGCCTCAGCCTCAGCATCAGCCTCGGCGTGCCTCAGCCTCAGCCTCAGCCTGCCTCGGCCTCAGCCTGCCTCGGCCTCAGCCTGCCTCAGCTCGGGCATTCAAAATATAGCACAGGACTGGTGTTCTGGGAACACGAAGATCACGAAGTGGCCCACAGTTGGCTCTGGGCAATCAAAATATGGTACAGGAATGGTGTTCTGGGAACACGAAGAACACGAAGTAAACACGAAGATGACAAAGTGGCCCACAGTTGGATCTGGGCAACCAAAATATGGTACAGGAGTGCTGTTCTGGGAACACGAAGAGCACGAAGTGGCCTACAGTTGGCTCCGGGCATTCAAAACGTGTACTGGGAATGGCGTTCTGGGAACACGAAGAACACGAAATGGCCTACAGTTGGCTCCGGGCATTCAAAACGTGGCCTGGGAATTGTGTTCTGGGAACACGAAGAACACGAAGTGGCCTACAGTTGGCTCCCGGCATTCAAAATGTGGCCTGGGAATGGTGTTCTGGGAGCACGAAGAACACGAAGTGGCCTACAGTTGGCTCCGGGCATTCAAAATGTGGCCTGGGAATGGTGTTCTGGGAATGGATTCCTGAGGATTCCAAAGAATTCATAAAAATTCCCAAGGATTCCTGGGGCTGCCGGATTCTGCCGGATCCCGCGTCCGGATCCCGCCCAGACCCCCCTGGGGCGTCAAGATGTGCTCTCTTTTGACCCCACTAGAAACCTATCAGTCTTCGCTGTTAGGTAAAATGTGTCTGTGTGTTCTTTTCCCTCCTGATCTTGGCCGTGCGGGAGGGCCGCCACTGCCTCCACTCGGGGACGCGCACTGACCCGGGCCAGTGCAACGCCGGGGCGGTCGGGCTTTTCTCTTGCAGGAGCCGGCCAACATCCTGCAGGGTCCTGCGCTGCATGGCCCTGGTCTCGGCGGCGAGCGAGGGGGGAAGCGAGAAGGAGGGGGCCCTGGGACACACAAATGAATACACACAAATAAACATATTCCCCATAATTTCCCATGTTTTCTGGGTTTGTGTCTTCCCGCCCAATTCCCACATTTTCCAATATTTTCTTGGGGATCGACGATTCATTGTGTCTGTGTGTTTTTCCCCTCCTGAGAGAAGGATGCCCTCTCAGAAGGCGGCGGGACTTCTTAGAAGCCCTCGCGCCTTCCGAGAGGCTTCTGTGTCTTCGGGGAAGGCATAGAGAGCTTCTCAGAAGGCCGGGAAACTTCCGAACCTTCTGAGAAGACCTTCCCCTCCTCACTTCCCCCCCTCGCTCGCCGCCGATGGTCACGGCAATCCTGGCTTCGCGAGATCCTGCAAGATCTGGCGCTCTGGCCGACCCGCGTTTGCATGGACCCCCGCCTCAAGGCTCACGATCAATCGGGCGGGTGGTAAGGGGCGGTGACCCAGATGGGGGGTGACGAGAAGGGCCCCAAAGGGGCCCTTTATAGGGCCCCTTTTAGAGCCAGCTGGTGCCCCAAAGAGGCCTCCAAGGGTCCTGCAGGGCCTTTCCCCCCCCCCCATTTTAGCTCGCCCCCTCATCACCACCCGCCCGAATCAGCCGGCCCTCCTCCGAGCCACTCCCCGGCTCCCGACGCCGCGGCTGGCCAAAAAAGAGAAGAGACGGGCACCGAACGCGCCGCCTCTGCCGCGCTGCTCCGGCGCGACGGCCCTCTGCCCGGACCGCCCGGCCCGCTCCTCTGCTGGCCGGAGTTGCACGTACGGCCGGCGTCGCAAAGGTGGCGCCCAACAGCGACCTCCGACGAGCACGCCACCCCCGTGAGGCGACATCCCCGCGAGCGCCCGCCGTGCGCACGCACTTCCCCCCCGCGAGGGCCTCGGCGGAGCACGCTGCGCCCCCGCCGGGGGCCTCCTCGGTGCACGCCGTCCCCGAGGTGGGGGAGGGCGTGTCGCAGGCGGGCCGGCGGCGCCACGCCCCGCGCCATCTTTGCGGCGCCGACCGTCAAAACACGAGCCTTCGCAGACCCGCGCAGAGATACCTCCTGGGTGGGCGCCGAAGCACTCCCTTCCGCACGCGCCTTCACCCGCCGGCGGCGCCCGAGGCTGCCGCCAGCGGCGTGAGGCGAGGCGAGGGGGGCCTGGCATCGACCCGAGGCAACCGCGCGAACCTCCCCAGCAAAAAGCACTGCCGCTCGAGCGGCCTCCGCACGGGGCCGTCACCGCGCCATCGGCGGGGCGCTCCTGGACAGCGGCGAGGTCGGTGACGGGTACGGCGCATTGGCGTCGCCGGCCGCGCGCCTCCTCGGCGGAGAGGGGTGGGCCGTCTTGGAGCCGGCGCCCGTCCTCATCTGCACCTTCCAGAGGGCCTCGCCCCCGGCCGCCGTGCCGCCGTGGGTCGCTCCAGGGGCGGCGGCGCCCGGGGCGACCGCGTCCTCGGCGCATGGGGCCCGGGCGGGCGCGGCGGGGAGGCGGGGGGGCGACCAGAGAGTGCAGGGAAAGGCCCCGAGAAGGGAGCCCCGGGGGGGGGGGGGGGGCCTGAGCTGCCGGCCCGCGTCCAACAAGTGCTTGGGAAGGGAGGTGCACCTCACGCCTCCGTGTGTCCCCCCGTCCCCCCCTCCCCCCCACCGTTGTCGTCCGTCTGGGGAGGAGCCCGCATACCTTGGCGCGCAGGCCCAGTTTGGAAAGCCCGTCCCCTCGCAAGGGACCTGTAATACTGTGTGCGGTCGGTATCCGTGGCAAACGCGTCCCAGTAACGTGCATCCACCGACCAGAGTCGTCGGAACGTCGAAGGTACAAGTGTTTGTGTGTATATATATATATATATGTATGTTGTATGTGTGTGCATGTGTGTATACTTGTGTGTGCGTGTGTGTGTGTGTGCGTGTGTGTTTGTTTCTGTGTGCGTGTTGTTGTTGATGTTGCTATTGTTTTTGTTATTGTTGTTGTTATTATTGTTGCTGTTGTTGTTGCTGTTGTTGTTGTTGTTGTTATTGTTGTTGTTGTTGTTGAACACTCATTTCTGAATGATAATGATTGTTGATCTCGGGAAGCGGTTCCGCGCGCTCTCGCCTCGACGCCAGCTACATGTTCTCTGATAACAGGGTTCCCGCGCGAGCGTTGGCTTGAGTCTAGATGTGGGCCCTTGAAGGCCCAGCTACGACGACAACGGCTCCCGATCGATACTTCCTCACACTTTACCTCGAGACACCCTGGCCAGAGAGGTCCCCCGAACTCAGGAACGGCGCTCTCGCTCGAGATTTCCTCGCAATTCAATCAAGTTGGCGGAGGCCTGGCCACGACGAGAAGGGCTCCTGCTCGATACTTTCTCACGGTTTACTCCGAGAGCCCCTGGCCAGAAAGGCCCCCGAACTCAGGAACGGCGCTCTCGCTCGAGACTTTCTTGTAATTCAAACAAGTTGGTGGAGGCCCAGACACGGCGACAAGAGCTCCCGTTCGATATTTCTCCATAGATATTCCGAAACCCCCTAGCCAGAGAGGCCCCCGAACTCAGGAACGGCGCTCTCGCTCGAGACTTCCTCGCACTTCAGTCAGTGGCCGACAAGGAAGATATTCCCCCCGAAAGGGGGTGCAATCGAAGACGAAGTGGGCGGGTATAGAGGGTTGGTGTATACAGAATTGCAAGACACGTGTGACAGTAAGAGCGAACAGTCTCAACATGCTTGTTGTTATTGTTTTTGTTGTTGTCGTCTTCTTTGTTGTTGTGTGTTTGTGTGTGGTGGCTGGGGGGGGCGCCTCCCTGAGGAGGCTCCAGGCGCCAGGGGAAGTGTAACTGAAGGAAGATTCGGTTGAGCAGGGACCGACCGTCCCGGCATTCCTACAGGCCTACCACGACATGTTCTTAGAACCCAAACATGTTCTAACAGCAAAGATAATGTTCATAACACATAACGCCACTGTGTTCAAACAAGACAGTCTTAGCCAGACACGTTCTCATATCATTTCGTGCAACCACAGAAAGTTCTTAGAACCTTCTTTGGCGGGCCTATAGGCAAGCGGGGGCGCTTCGCCACTGCTTGATAAGGGGAGGAGAAGGGCAAGGAGGACTGGCATGAGGGAAAGGCGTCGTCCTTACGGAGACGGGTCCGAGACCCCATGGCGCTCCCCGAGAACAGCTTTGCATCCCGAACCGTGTTCCCCCCTGTAGTGGGCACCCGTCTGGAAAAGAGCGCTGCTGCTCACTCCTCCTTCCCCCTTCCTCCCCCTCCTCCTCTCCCGCCCCCTCTCGGCTCCTCCCTCCTCCTGCCTGGCTACCCTGCCTCCCTGAGCTCTGCCAGCTGCTCCCCATCGCGACATCGTTGACACGCTCGTGAGCCTGTGGGGAGCCCACCAGAGCGCGGTGCTGCCCAGATGAAAACGAAACCTCGCCTCGGCGGAGGCTACCAGCTGCACGACGGTCGCCACCTCTAGTGAGCTCGAGGAGGATCCAGCGGAGAGCTTTGGCACGCCTGTCGGGAGGACACGTCGGCCACCCTGCGTGCCGCCACCTGCGCATCTGTCGCCGCAGCTTTCGTGAGCTCGTCGGGGGGCCCAGCAAAGTGCAGTGCACTCATGCTACTCAGGTCAGAGTGAGACATCGCCTCCCCGGGATCTGCCAGCTGCGCAACCGTCGCCACTTTCGTGAAATTGTGGGACGGTCAGTGGAGCGCAGTGCTGCCCAAATCTGCAGACCCCTTGTGGGCCTCCAGCTGTGTGAGACGGTTCCACCCCCTGAATCCCCCCCAAGGACCCCGAACTGCAAATGTGAAGGTGGGGGGGCCTGGCCCGGCACGGCCCCCCTGGTGAACTACATCAGGGAGGTTCCGCCCCTCCCCGGTTTCCTTTTGGAACTTCAAATCCCAGGGGTCGGCAGCTGTGGCGCAAGCCTGCACGATCCACGTCCAGAGGCGACGTGCTAAGCGGCAGCGTTTTCCGGCGAACGCCTGAATGCAACGTGTCCAATGTATCCGATGCTTGCGTAATGGCTACATATTGTAATGTGTTGCATATAATGTCTCCCCCCCTAACCCCCCCCCCAGGGGCCACGCCACATCCACCGACCCAAATATGGTGGCCCCCTTCTAAGCTTCAAAAGCCCTCCAAACCGATGGAACATCGATGATTTGGGCCCTGTGGCCCTCCCGGGGGCCCAAGAGGGCCTCAAAATGGCTCACGATGGGCTCTAGATGGCCTACGACGGCCCCGAGACGGCACAAGATGGCCTCAAGAGGGCCCAAAAAGCGCCCAAGACGGCCCAAGAGGGCCACCACAGGAGCCCCGATAGCGCCTCCGCAAGCCTAAATCATTGATTTTCCGGAAGGGGTTTTGAAGGATTTTCGCGTTCTCGGTTTTTTCGACTCCTGACGACCCAAGCAGCCTCCAAAATCGCCCCATGACGGCTCAACAAACGCCCGAGAGGACCCCAAGACAGCTCCAGAGGGCCCCAAGATTGCCCAAAGAGGTCCCCAAGACGGCCCAAGGGGCTCCCGAGACGGCCCAAGAGGACCCCAAGAGAGCCCCCAGGCGGCCGCGAGAGGCCCCCAATATGGCCTCTGCAGGGGCCAAACGGCGCAACAGCGCCCAATACGGCTCAAGACACCCCCAAGAAGCCCAAAGAGACCCCGAAAAAGAGCCCAAGAGACTCCCGAGAACCTCCAAAACGACTCGACTGTTCGTACTCCGGACGTGCACCCCGCGAAGCGAGAGGAATCCACGTCCGGAGGTGACGTGAGCCGGACGTGTTGCCGGAAGCAGGTCCGCGGACGCTGGAATTCAACGTTCCGGCGAACGCCTCGATGCAATGTGCCCAATCTGTCCACGCATTGCAAAATTACTACACCCTGCGAAATGCTTAAGAAATCATGGGTTAAGAAATTCATAGTCTCAGAACTTGGATAAAAACCCAACATTTCCATTGAAATCTTAGGATTCACATTGAAACGTTAAGAAAAATCGAGACTCTGGCCGAAAACTTGAATTTTCTTAAGCATCGCCCAAGGTGTATGGCATTGTTTTGCAATCTTCCGTCTCCCCCCCAAACCCCTCCCAGCGCTACGCCGCGTCCGTCGCCCCAGGGTGGAGACCCCCCTTTCTGTGGAGACCCCCGGGTGGAGAACCAGTGGATGTGAGCCTGTTGGCCCTCTGGGGGGCCCACCGGGGCTTCACGACGGACCAAGGGGGCTCCGCGACGGCCCAAGACGGCCCCGATGTGGCCCAGAAAGAGGGCCCCAGAAGCCCCCCAGACGCCCCAAGAGGGCCCCACGAGGACCCCCAAGAGCGCCTCATCTACTGCCCATGCGGTTCTTGAAGGATTTCAGCGTTCTCGCTTATTATGGCTCTTAGAAGCCCAGGACGGCCGAAGCAGCCTCCAACATGGCCTCAAAACGGCCCAAGAAGCCCCCAAGAGGGCCCCAAGACGGCCCAAGAGATCCCCAAGACGGCCCAAAGAGGCCCCCCAAACGCCCCCAAAGGCTTCCACCAAAACGGCGCAAGAGGACCCCAAGAGAGCCCCAACGCGGCCTCTACAGGCCCCCAAGACGGCATCCGAAGTGACCAGACAGCGCAAGAGCACACCAAGACGGCTCAAGACGCTCAAACGGGGCTCCGAGAGGCCCCCAAGAGCCCCGGGGTCCTGAGGATAGCAGGGGATCCAAGGGTGGATTTACATTGCTTGAGGCAACTCGTGCTCAGGACCCCATTCCTCAGGACCCCCCTCTCTGAGCCACCAATGGGGTGCCTTCTGACCAGAACTTTTGGGGCGGGTCCAGCCGTGGCGACGAGTCCTCGGGCCCCCCCTCTCTGAGCCACCGGCGGGGTGCCTTCTGACCAGACCTTTTGGGGGGCGGGTCCGGCCGCGGCGACGAGTCCTCCGGACCCCCCATCTTTAGAACCACCACGGGGGTGCCTCCCGACCAGGACTCTTGTGGGGCGAGTCCCGCTGGGGCGACAAGGGAAGGACGAGGGAACAGGGTATGGGTATACTGGCCTCTGTGGTCCTCCTCTTCCCGAGGCGCGCCGACGGCGAGGACCCCCCTCAGAACGGGAGCGGAAAAAAACACATGGGCACGATGCCCAGCAAGAGGGGAAACACACACACACACACAGAAACAGTGAATCGTCGATCCCCAAGAAGATATCGGAACATACGGGAAATGTGGGGGAGACGAACATCAAGAACATGCTAGAACGTATCGGAAGATATGGGAGGTGGGGGGAGGGGGGGAAGACGAATTCAAGAAAATGCTAGATGATGTTGGGAATCCTCGGATTTGCCTGCATTTATCTGTGCCCCTGGGCCCCTGGAACGATGCCCAGCGGCGAAAGTGGTCCAATCCCGACAGCGGCCGCTGTTGGGCAAGCGGCTTTTTGTTTCAGATGGGCAACTTCCGTGGCGACACCAGCAAGGGCTCCTTCTCAAAATTGGCCAGAGTTTTCAATCGCACACCATGTCTTGCATTCCACCTGAGTTGCATGAACCCACTTTACTGCGCTGCCTTGTCCGACGGGTTGCGCCATGGACTGCCACTCCTTGTTCGAGCTGTGCTGTGCAAGAGTTGGCAGGCATGAATGCCGGTCGTCGTCCCCATTTCTACGTCACGTGCTCGACCATGGACACCTCACTGCCCATCGCTCCTGGGCCGTCTTCGCGGT